GGAGGAACAGCACAGGAGGGGAAGGCCTTCTATGAGGTAGATTCAGTGACTGGGGTAATCAGGATGGGAGTGTCAGAGACAGTGCGATTGGCACAGGACAGAGCAGAGTTTAGGGCTCTTGTACATAGGGTCGCTATGAGTTGCAAGTGACCCTACGGCACATAACAACAACAAACAACAACCCAAAGTATCATTAAGTATTGCCACTCGTGGCTCGAATTTTTCAGCTCCTTCAGCTTCAGACACACTGAGCGAGTTTGGACCTTTTGATTTTCTGACTCCAGCTCTCTGCACATTTCATTATAGTATCTTGCTTTGTCGTCCCAGGCTGACTTTTGAAATTTCTGTTTCGCTCTTTGATTTCTTGGTTTCTTCCTTTAGCATTGGCTTCTCTGAACTCTAATGCAATATTCAGAGTCTCATCTAACATCCATCTTGGTCTTTTCTTATTTTTCAGCCCTTGTAATGATCTTTTGCATTCTTCATAGATGATTTTCTTGATATCCTCCCAGAGCTCATTTGGCCTATGCTCATTGGTACTCAAGGCCTCAAACCTGTTCCTGAGATGGTTTTGAAATTAGAGTCGGATAGACTTAAAATCAAATTTTGGTTCCCGTGGACTTGATTTAATTTTCCTCAACTTCAGCTTTAACTTGCATATGAGTAGTTGGTGGTTTATCCCACAATCAGCACCCAGCCTGGTTTTCACTGCTTATATTGAGCTTCTCCACTGAGTCTTTCCACAGATGTAATCTATTTGCCATCTATTGTAATCTATACAATACATCTATTTGTAATCTATTGCCTATGCATGCCATCAGGTGAGATCCATGTGTATAGCCTGTGTTTATGTTTCTTATAGAAGGTATTTGCAATGAATAAATCATTGAATGTACAGAACTCTATCATTCTATCTCCAGCCTCATTTCTCTCACTGAGCCTGTATTTTCCAGCTACTGATCCTTCTTCCCTGTTCCCAACTTTTTCATTTCAGTTGCCCATTATTACCAATACGTCTTGATTGCATGTTTGATCAACTTCTGATTGCAAAAGTTGGTAGAAATCTTCTATTTCCTCCTCTTTGGCTCTGGTTGTTGGTGCATATATTTGAATGATTGTGGTATTCACTGGACTTCCTTGCATGCATATAGATATTATCCTGTCACTCACCACATTGTATTTCAGGATGGATCTAGAAATTACTTTTTTAGTTTTGAAACCAACCCCATTCTTCCTTACCTTTTCATCCCCGGCATGGTAAATCATATAATCGTCTGATTCAAAATGTCCCATGCCAAGCCATCTTGTTTCACCAATGCCTCGTATGTCAATATTTATGCTTTCCATTTCTTTCTTAACAATGTCCAATTTTCCTACATTCATGCTTCTCACGTTCCACGTTCCAATCACTAGTGTCTGCTTACAACTGTTTCTTCTTCTCTGTATTTCCGTTTCTAAGATCTCAGTCTCAATTGCCATGTCTGCTAGTCCAAGTGATAATCTGTGTGCTTTATTGTACATAGGGTTTTCAAAGGCCTGTTTTTTTCAGAAGTGGATGGCCAATCCTTCTTCCTAGTCTGTCTCAGTCTTTAAATATATATAATAGTATCTGACAGACAAGCATTCCACAGAAAAAAGCAGATGAAGACAATTGCCCAATTATAGCAGTGAGCAATAGATTCAATGTTGCTGCCCACCCACACTTCCTTACTCCACCATTATCCCTTCCTACTTTTGCCTACAGCATTCAATACCCGTCTCCCATTGACCAGCCCCTGATGTGATGGCCTAAGTCCCAAGCCATCAGGATTTTTGTGATTCTGCTTCTGAACATATTGTGCTGCTGTGAGTCTCTTATGATGTAACCAATATGACTTCAATTTAAAGTTGTTAAGTGCAACTGTAATGTACAACTTCTACTCCAGGATTGCCTTCTCATGGGTTAATACCACTTGTCTTCCATTTGATGTCAGGTGTTGATGCACCCTCAGGCCCAAAACTCTTTTTCCGGCAATGCTTCAGGGTATGTGCGCTGGCCAATACGGCCTGAGGTTACCTGGGTTAGAATTTGGAGATCTAAAAAGCTCTGCTTCTCTCTCCTCCCCGATTCCCAAAAAACTCCTTTTCCGGCAATGCTTCGGGGTGCATGCACGCTGGCCAATGCGGCCTGAGGTTTTGTATTTTAAATATTTTAATAGGCAACACATTCCCATTTTGCAAAAGTAGAAGAGGATACAGTGAAAAGTTACTCTTCTTCTTCACCCTCCCCTGCCCCTAGCCATCCAGAATCCCTGGCCAGCCATAATTATCAGTCTCCATGTGTCCTCCTGGTAATTTTTGCCTGTGCAGGCAAACGTTTGTGTGTGCTCATGTACACAGTGTGCTTCTCTTTCTTAACCATGGTGATGGGGCCACAGTACTCTACACTTTGCTTAATTTCACCTCATATATTGGAGACTACAAAAACATAAAAACTATTTTTTTTCCTCCCCTAATGAATACTTGCTTGATCCTTAGGTGAGCTGGATCCAGAAAGAATGGGCTCAGGCATCCAGTATGGAGATGCTGCCCTGAGACAGCTCAGGTCCCCACGTCGAGCACAGGCCCAAACTGCTCAGGAATGTGGTTGTTAAAATCAGCACAGGCAGATGAGGTGGGTGCTGGTATGAAAGGTGTTTGTCTTTTGATGCTGTGCTTATCTTTCCACCTGTTTGGGTTTTTTAATGTACTAGTTATTCACATAGATAACTATAAAAACTACATTATAGCTCTTTACAAGAACATTATGAAAAATGTGATTGTATAGTTAAAATTAGATGTTCTGATAGAAAGTACATTGCACAGGAATTTTAACAGTTCTGTTTAGAATGAAAGGAAGAGCAGTTGTTGATGGGAGTGGTTGAGTTAGAGACTTTTGGGCTATTATGTCAAGAGAGGTTTTCATGGGTTAACATAGAAATGAGTGGGCCTATTCTAAAATTGAAGGCTCACTTATAAAATTTGAAAAGGGAAGTTTTTGCTTGTAAAAGCTCCTTTTCACTTCATTTACCACAAAGGACTTTTTATTTCATATTCAACATTATCTAATAGGCATAGGTGGAAGTATTAAATGGTAAAAGATGGTCATAGTCTCTGCTTCCCCTTTGAACTATAAACTGTACTTTCATATTTATAATTATGCTTATTTTCATATTTATAATTGTGCATGTTTCTGAATTATCCCTGACGTTTTTTAGGTGCATATACAATGGTATTTGGGACACAGTTGTTGGAGCTTGAAGAATCTGAAGTGTTTCTTTGCTACTCTGTACAGAAGTAGATCTTTGTTGGAATAAAATAACCAGGTGTTATGGAAGATAGTCAACAAGGCACAGCAAATCATATAATACATTTAACTCAGCGGACAGTACCATTAAATGTCTACATATATGTAAATAATTTCTGTTCCACAGTTTCCCTTTAGTTTGAAACATGGCTGTGTGCTGTATATCTTCTAGTCCAGTAAGCCTCTACAGCATGGTATATGTTATAACCATAGAATGTTGCACTAAATGCAGTTTTAATACTTTTTTAATCATATGAATGAGATTTTGTTAATGTGAGATGTCTTCCTATCATCATGTCAATTATATTGCACAATTGGTTATATTATAACCTGATATTCAAAGATTCTGGCATTAATGGCCAGTACATTTCCTGTTTAATTCTGTTGACCACATTCTACATAGTATTATATGATCCACACAGATCAGTAGTTAATCAATAACATGTTAAAATAAAATGAAAAATGGTTGGGATTTTCCAGTTAATTTTACATTGTCCAGCTTTCTCTTGCTTTTGAAATGTGTTTATCCAGGTCTGTTAAGGAAATAAATGTGGAGTATTGAACACTTGCCCTGTTTTCAGTGCTGTGATCAGTACTAGGACACTCAGTACCTTTTCCCAGACTTCATAGGCAGCTTCAGCTGTTGTTATCAGGTGACCAGCACTACAACCTAGAGTTCTTAGCTGTCTGCTGATCTGTCTGGCTTCCTGCTAGAAAATACATTGTTTACTCTCGAGCTTTCTCTGGCTTTCAGTTTCATAGCCTCACCCCTTCTTTTGTTGTATTATGTTCATTAGAAAACCACTAAATGCAGCTAAAATTTAAGATACCGGTCATTAAGCAATTCCTTATAGCTTTTACTAAGTCCTAAAATGCCTTCTTGTGCTTGTCCAGCTGATATTTTTAATTCATGTAGGGTGTGTTGAAAATAACATAATTCCCATGACTTGTTCTAATATTGTAAAATGTCAGTACAAAAATATATAATGTAACATTTCTTTCAAGTGGAAATGCAATATTATATGAGACAAAATGTTAAAATGTATTTCTCTCCATGTTATGTATGTCTCTCATTGTGAATGTTTCTTAAGTGGCAGTTATAGACCTATTGGTAAATCTGCTTTGGTTTTTATTCAGATACTGCCTCCTTTTTTTTTTTTCTTACAGATCAGTTGCATCTTATTGCTTTTGTGGTTTTGTTTTGAACTAGGAGGCAGCACAGAGACTCACATGCCCTTTGAAATGGGATTTAAACAGAATCTGAAGCAAATTCTCAGTCTGAATTTTTTGGACCTTCCTGGAAGAATTTTTCATTTACCATCTCATTCATGTCAGTTTTTCCAATTCCTCATTTCTCAACAGACTCTTGCATGCCACCATAGGACTATATGTTTTCTAACAAAAGAAAGAATTTAAAAAATAAGATCAATTTAACCTGGCTTGCAAATGAGCCTGGTATTATAAAGAACCGGTACCATGAATCATTTCATGTCCTTTGACCAATAACTGTTATTGGGGAAACAGACACTGATGGTTGTGGAAAAGGGCTCTGGCATTTTGAAACAGTGAAGAGGTTGAGGTAGTTTGGTCTTGGTAATCCTAGTGACATGTTATCTATGCATTGCCCATTACTCATTAGGTCCTCAGGAAGTTCTTCATTTACATTACTACAAAGATAATTTTTCTGTCTTCCCAGAAAATGATTATGACATCTGTTTAGACTTGAAATTGTCATTTAGTCTTCTTACAATCCCGCACTAAGTGAATATTCGAGACTCTGTAATGGTTTTGTTATGGTGGCAGGCACACTGGTTATGTACTCAACTGCTAACCAGAAGAACAGCAATTCAAAGTCACTCTTGAACCAGGAATCAAAATATAATCTCCCACAAAGACTGGAGCACTTCTCTCTTTTTTTACAGAGACCAAATTAATGCCAGTGTTTTTGTTTAGTAGTTTTATTAAAAAGATACCTATGGCTTGTTCAAATTTTGCTTGTGAGTTGTTGAAATCTCTAATAGCATCAATTTCTGGCTAATTAATACTGTTATTCATAGAAAGAACATGATACTATAATTAGACACTAGCTGGTGTCTAAGCCATGCAGTAGCACAGTGAGTGGCCTTCATTTTGTGTCATTTTTGCCTTCTGTTTAGAGGAGAAAATGATAGAGTATGAATTTGTATTATTTTAGTGGCAATTGTGAATCTCTTTAATAATCTAACTACCCACGTATACATATAATCTGAGCTTGTCCCACATACAACTCAATTAACTTCCTTCACATTCTTTTCAGAATTTTAGAGGAATTTCTTTGAGGACACTAGACTTACCAGTCAGTGAAGTTGAAAGTAAGACTAGCTGTCACTTGTTAAAGGTAGATAATGCTGTTTTCTAGTAGAAAGTCCTGTATGATTGATGAATATTTTTCCCCTTTAAAGATATCACCACTGTACTTTCACATTTTGTAATATGACATTTTCAAACATACAGAAGAGATAGTATAACAAGCATTCAAGTATCCAAGTATCTGAAGCTTTCATCCATTCTGATACATACCTCCAAATGATAAGAATTTTTTTTTTCAATTTATGTCTACTTTTAGTTTTCTTTTTCAGGATACTCTTCCAAAGCCGAAAGTAGTTATGCTTTATCTTTGAGTTAAAACGTTAGCTTTCTGATACCTATAGGAAGTGCACTTGTTTAGGGTGGTGTCCTGGAATGTGTGTGGAGGACTCAGAGATGCTGCCCACAGCCACAGCTAGCCAGCAGTGAGTGGATGGTGCTTGGCTAGCAGTGGTTAAATGTTCTGCTTTTCACCTCTGCAGTGCAAGAACTTAAGATTCATTTAATTGAGATCATTTCCATATACTTATATTCTGTTACAGAAAACATGTTTTATTATAAAGAAAATATCTTACCTGAGACATGTGCTGGAGTGGAGTCCTCTTTGGCTTGCAGAGAACACTGTGTTTCTTCATACTTAAGAAAATTAATGCTACATTTCTAGAAAAAGCATAATGGAAAAGAAGAGAAACCTATGCTCTAGTGACCTCTTTTCTCTAACTTCTTAATGTAAAGTGTAATTTCTCTTGAAGAAAACTAGAATTATTCTTGCTTAATTTCAGAAGATTTTATATCTCAAAATACCATGGATATAATTGTTTACTAAATATTAAGGGCCAACTTATTATGTGTGGAGGAAGCTCTGGTGACCAAGAGGGAGTTTGGCAAGCAGTTCAAATCCATCAGCTGCTGGAGAAAGATGGTCAGTCTCCTATGTGATTTACAGCCTCTGAAAACTCACTGGAGGATCACCTGAGTTGGTTTCAAATCCTTTAAAATGAGTATGCGATGATTCTGGTGGCCTAGTCCATAGGAAGGTGTACTGCTAATCTAAAGGTTAACCTCTCTGTGGGTTCAGATATACCAGCTCTTCTGGTGGAGGAAGAAAGATGAGCAGTCTCCACCCCTCCAATTTACAGCCTATGAAAACCAAATAGAAGCTCAGCTCTGAGTCAGTTCTGACTCAATAAGAGTGAGTTGGAAGATAGATGAGGGTAAGTTCAAGTCCACTATCTGCTCACTCCCTTTGAAAAAGATGAACAGTATCCTCCCGTCTGATTAAAACCTCTGAAAACCTGTTGGAGGGTCAGCCATGAGTCAGTTCCAGTTTGAAAACACGTAACAAATGAGAATAACATGCTAAATTCTGTATGTTTCCTAGGAAATACATATAGAATAACTTTCATGAGTGGAAAGTTTTATAGTATCCATTCAAGGTGAGTTACCAAGGAGTCCCCTTTTCCAGAAAGACCTTCAGATCAGTTTCTATGACTCTAGCCATATGTACTAAACTCTGGCACTATTCCATTTCCTAGGGAAGTGGTATTTGTATAGGACACTCACTTCCACACTGTTCTTGGACTTCCTGTGCCTCTGTGTCCACCAGCTTCCAATCTTCCAGCTGCTCTGTGGGAGAAAGGCAGTTTCCCCCCGTGCAAATAACTGCCTCGAAAAACCTGCTGGAGCATCAGCTATAGGTCAATTCCAGTGATACACAACAACAACAACATTTATTTATACCAGTTTTACTAACGGTATGCCTGGACAATGTGAATTATACCTTTTTAATTTGGAAAAACCCTGCTCCGAGGATCTCCAAGCTGCTTCATCCACTTTTTCATGTTCCTTGTGGCTCTGCCTTGTCCAGGTATAGCATTCAGTACCCACTCTTCTTTATTTTTTGGGGAAAAAACCACCCATTTTGTAGAAGACATTACTAAATTTTTTAATTTCAGTAAGCACCTTATTTTTAA